CGCGTCCCTGTCGTCTACGCGTAGGGTCGTGCGTCCCTGGTGTGGATTGTCTCGGGCTAATTACTGGGGCGTAAGACACCCCGGTTGGGCTGCTCTCCACGTCCCAGGAATGGCAACTACGACTACTTGGCGCTCGACGTAACACAATTACCGGCGCCTGACCTTGATTACGTTTCCCGTTGTCCACGTCTCAGTTCGGCTGATCTGACGGTGTACTGTGCAGTTTGATTTTAGTCACATAGCATTGCAGAACCGCGTGCGCCGTAAGGAGTTAGCAATAGTGATCGACTGAGTGACTGGGGGCAGCCCAGGATCTCTCAGTTGCCTTTCTGTGTGACGCTAGCAACATTTTGGAGGAAGTCCAGCTGTGCATACATTTTGCGACTCATTTAAGGACACTTCTTCATGATGTCGATGGTTACAGTTTTCGGCCCTTATGCTTCGCTCTTGACCTTCCGATGTCACGTGATTCGTGAGCCTAATTTTATTTCCGGTGGATGGAGGACATGTTATATAAATTTTGGGATGATGCTTTCGAAATAAAGCGTATCTCGCTCCCTCTTTCTGTGGCCATCCCCATGACTAAACATCTCGACCATGCCAAAAGTGCAATCATGAACAATTCGAGCAACTTAGGTTGCCACGTTCGAATTCGGACCAACACTCTGTCCCGCAAAGAAATATTCATCTGCTGGTTTATTTCCTGGTGTATTCAAATTTGATGTGTTAGGGCCATGCGTCCTCTTAACGTCAATGGTTAATTTAGGAAATTAGATTCTGATCACAATTTTAATAAGCCAACTGCAAATTAGTTTCTCTGAAATTAAATACTGTAAATTTAAGAAGCGGTCTTGGGTAATGAGTATCAAGCAAAACTGAGTAATTTGTGGCCTAAGTACTTTAACACCGTTTCCTTCCTATTAAACGTGGCTTCTTCTTAGGTCTTTTGACAAAAACAAATCTTACATTAAATCTGCAGAGGGATATGTGCGGCCAAATAAGAAGGCTATACATTTATTTGGTGGGTACTGGTATACTACACTTCCTTATAATTTCAATAACATGATTAGTTATGCAGCAGGACAGTCGAGTAGGAAAGTTCTCTATTTGGGACTCCTGCATTAAGTTTCAATGAGATAAATGTTATTGTTAAGGATAGGGTAAAGCTAGGATTAGAGCATAGGCTAGGGTGAAGTTTCG